AAATAGATAAATTAATAAAAGTTTTTATACGGAATCGTTTGTATTTTATATGAAGAGTTATGAAGTGTGATTAAAAAAGTTTGTGAGTCACCCAGATAATTTTAATTAAATATTTATAAACTCGGTAATTAGCCGAAATATAGATTTTTAGTTATTTATGTTAAAAGAAGAAGGCGCTAGTGTTCCCGAAGGTCCGTCTGCAATCAGAATTAATATGAACGTTTTAAAAATTATTTTATACTGAAATAAATAAATATACAGGCTAATAAGTCTGTAGCTATAAGCGATAGTTGCTAATTAAGTTTGTCACTCATATTTTCATCTTGCAGAGGACCTCCGTAACGAGATCAAAGATGTACACCAGCTGTGCAGGGTGAAGAGGTTATCTCAAACGCCCTTAATTGGGCCACAGTCCAATTACGAGCGACTCAAATGTCATTACCGCTGAGAAGTACTTCTTGCCATTTGAGTCAGCATGTCAGAGCTAGTCACTACGGATTGTGGTGACACAGCACTGGACTGCCTGCAGAAGTTAATCGCATATAGCCATCTCACTGGCAATGTGCCTGATTCAACGGAGCCTAACAAGCTGCTGATTGTGCGCATTGTCGAGACAATTTGCGGTTGCTTCACCGGTCCACCGACCGATGAGAGTGTGCAGCTGCAGATTATTAAAGCTCTGCTGACTGTAATGACAAGCCAGCATGTGGAGGTATACGAGGATACGGTACTGTTAACAATTCGTACTGTTTACAACGTTTACTTGTCGTCGCGCAACCTGGTGAATCAAGCAACAGCCTGTGCGACTCTCACGCAGATGATCAACGTGATCTTCGCGCGAATGGAGACTCAGGCGGAGGAAGATAACGTGAGGCTTGATGGGGAACATCAGCAGGAGGGTTCTGTCATAGCAAACGGCAAAACTGAAGCTGAGCTAAGTCTTAGAGCCTCCGCATAAGACTTTCGTATGGTAACGTAGTGTAACGAAACGTGGGTCAACGCACAAGAAACGTATCGGTTACGGCGTTATACGTCAATACGTTTCTTGTGCATTGATCTACGTTACGTTACTATACGAAAGTTTTGTGCGGAGGCTCTAACCGATACGTTTCTTGTGCGTTGATCCACGTTAAGTTACGCTACGCTATATACGAGAGTCTTGTGCGGAGGCTCTTAGTTAGCTAAGTCTAACTAGCTCATCTTCATGAAACTTTACGTTGCGTGCGTCTATTTAATGACGATGGATGTAGAAAGCTCTTCAAATCACTTCGAGAGGATTATCAAAAGCGATCTCCATATATCGCATATTTAATCAGATGTCGTCAGGGATTGCTGTTGACATTAGCTCACTTAGATAGGTACTGTTTATATATAAATATCATTTTTGTATGTAATGTATAAGTAAATGTAAGATGTTTAAATGTAAGATGTTAACCGTTTAATAATAATATTTTTCAGATTATGCGTGCGAGTTAAGTGCGATCGGGATGCTATCAATAATCATCTTGTATCCGTTTGTGTGAGGGTATTTTTGGAAAAAAAAGAAAGCTTTCCTCCTGCGAAGAGTTTAAAAAGCTTACGCTAGCTGACGAGAAACAGGTTCTCATGGATAATTTTATAGAGAAGGTCCACGTAGAAATGGACAACGATCCGATTTGGCAATGTACATGAATATAATTATTTATCTCGCAATTGATCTTAGCGGAGTGCTCAGAGACGTCTGAACTTACTTCTTACTTTCAGCGGCAAGCGCCAACCAGTTAGATTTGGCGAGAGTCGTAGTGGAAAGAACCGTCATGGCACGGGTATACCACAATACGCTCTATCTAAATGAAGATGGAGATGTATATAGGGACCAGCTTTTTCACGGTCATATCAATAAGTTGGCAAAGGTCGTAACTTCAAATCACAGGGACCTACGCATTTCAAAAGTTTATCATTACGAATGCCCCTAGTCATGGGCGCAGGCTGAATTGGCTGTGATATCGGTGTATAAGACTCCTAGGGATAAGTTGCAGTGTGTATTTTGTTGCGCGACTACCATCATGAATCTCTTTTCCATGGCGTCGGAAAGAGGCATACCTGCTGCCGACGATCTGACTCCCGTGTCTACAGGTATGTCATAATCAAGGTATGCGATTGAAAAGAGAATTGTGATTTTAGCAAGAAGAGTGATTGTTAACGTGTGCTTAATTTCAGACTAATTCGCCGTCGTTGTATCGACTGTTCAATATGTAGACAGCTTTTACGGGAATCGATTGGAGGGAGAAGAACAATATTGGTGGACGCAGTTCTGCGCCGCGATCGAGTTAAGACAATGGATTAACAGTTTCTCAAGAGTATCACGATAAATAAGATTAGATTCGATGCTGGTGATAATGTAGAAATGTATCATAATCATAATTTGACGATTTCATAAAGAAGAAGACCAATATCTTGTGTAAAGCTAGCTGAACAGTTTTATGCTTCCAGTATCAATTAAAATTCTTAAATAGCCTCTTAAATAGTCTGTTAGTTCTTTCGCACGTTATTATGTAACATTAGCAAAGACTGAATTAGATTATACGTAAAGTGTGGCTTTATCTTTATTTGTAACTCTATTGTACAATATGTCACAGGACATCGAAAAAAAAAGAAACGTTTAGATATTCTATAATTTATGTACAATACAGAACTTATAGAGAATTGATAACCATTTAGCAGGATAAACTGTGTTGGCGTACTCTTTCTACATGCGCACCTTCCTCAAGAGCCGAGACTCAAACCAGATCCGTGAAAAATATCGCCAATTTCGTAGAGCTTTTGTACAGTTTTACTCTAGGAATATCGCGAGAGAAAGAAAGACTTCGGAGATTTTTATCTGAATCGATCAACATAAAGAGAGAGCATAGTAAAGAAGCTATTAGCTTTCGAGAATTTGAATGCATAATACTTTGTTATAATACTATGAGCGAATTAGTTTACGTCACTCTGTCAAGTTTTAATATTAAATTACTAATAATATATCGATATCGGTAGTTTAATAATAATACATTTAAAAGCGCTCAATTTAAAAGTAGGGCAATCCTAATAAACGACTGTAAAAAAAAATTCAAGGTGGAACGCAATGGACAATCCGGTTGCTCTGACATGCTAACTTAAATGGCAAAAAGTACTTCTCAGCGGTAATGACATTTGAGTCTCTTTTAATTGGGTTGTGGCAGGGCGTTTGAGATAACCTGCTCTTCACCCTGCACAGCTGGTACAATCTTTACAAACTTAATTAGCAACTATCGCTTATAGCTACAGGCTCATTAGCCTGTATATTTATTTATTTCGGTATAAAATAATTTTTAAAACGTTCATATTAATTCTGATTGCAGACGGACCTTCGGGAACTCTAGCGCCTTCTTCTTTTAACATGAATAACTAAAAATCTGTATTTCGGCTAATTACCGAGTTTATAAATATTTAATTAAAATTATCTGGGTGACTCACAAACCTTTTTAATCACACTTCGTAACTCTTCATACAAAATACAAACGATTCCGTATAAAAACTTTTATTAATTTATCTATTTCGGCTAAATGCATGGTGTAAAAATAATTAATTAATTACAATTAAACGAATGACTCACAAACCTTTTCAATTGCACTTCAAAAGTCTTCATACGAAATACAAACGATTTCATATGGTAGATTCTTTCCCGGACATTCATTTCCGGTCAAATACATACGAATATTTTCTTATGCTTACGCATTATGCGTTGTGCAGAAGTGTGTGTCCGGGCCCTTAAAGGTGGAAGCACCATAGAGATATAAGAATAGAGTGCGCGAGTCATATGCTCGCACGTAAGAGACTGCGATATAGGAATAGAAAGAGAACGCTGCATATGGGCCCCTGCTGTCTTTGTCTATGCACGCATGCGTCTTTGCGCTGCTCAGTGTCTATAACGCATGTAGAGATATAACTTATAATAACGCATTTATGTTCTAACCCCTTGAACCCCTTTGAAAATATATCCTTAAATAATAATTCCCAAAATTACCAAATTATTACAGCAAAGTACATATTGTAGTATTACCATAAAATATTACTTTTTTTTGAATATGGAATTGAATATGGAATTGTATATAAATATACTCAATATATATAATAATAAAACAAAATTTATTACATGTTGTTCATACAATGTTAATCATAGAATAGAATAGAATCCTATTCAGTCTTTTATTATTTAACACAAAAATTAAATTTTTTAAACACAAAAAATAAATTCTTTTAACACAAAAATTAAATCTTTTAAATCAGTCTTATTATTTAACACAAAGAAATAAAATATAAAAAAATAAAAAAATAAAAATTTTACTACAAACAATATAATATCAAATGCACATTATTAAATATTTATAAAAGTATACAGTTTTGTTATTGTCCACTGAAAATCGTGAGCTTATTATTTTGCATTCGTATTCTTTGAAATCACGAGATAAAACATCGAGAATACCGAGGTACAATCTTTCATGACCTGCACATCACTGCACATGCGCGCATAGACAAAGACAGCAGGGGCCCATATGCAGCGTTCTCTTTCTATTCCTCTATCGCCTTTTCAGCTCGCTTGCGCACTCTATTCTTATATCTCTATGGGAAGCACATAAAATTGCAGGAGCCATGAGCAAAACGCAGAAGCCATATGCGCATGCGCTATGGTATCTGCCTGTATTCTGCCCATGGCTGTGGCTTCTGAACACGGTCTATGTATTGGGTTGGCAAATAAGTTCGTTCGGTTTTTTCCATTCAAAACCAGTCAAAAAACCGAACAAACTTATTTGCCAACCCAATAAGACCGTGCTTCTGAATTTTCAATCTATATAAACTATGCTTATGTATTTTTATGTAGATTGAAAATTCAGAAGCCATGGGCAGAATGCAGATACCATAGCGCATGCGCATATGAGTTCTGCATTCTGCTCATGGCTCCTGCAATTTTATGTGCTTCCACCTTAAGGCACGGCCCTAAGTGGTGTGTAGCGAATCCAGGCATTGATTTCCTTACTGCTTAAGCGGGGAGCACACACTTCTGCACAACGCATAATGCGTAAGCATAAGAAAATTGATTGGTCTATTTCCTTATGCACATGTGTATGGACCAATCAATTTTCTTATGCTTACGCTTTTATGTGTTGTGCAGAATAGAGTCCAATTAGTAAAGAGACGCAAACTTGTTCCTCCTTCTGATTGGTCGTTTATAGACCAATAGACAGCAGGGCGTATGATCACAAGATGGCGGCGGCGGCAGAGTGGGAATGCCCGCATTATACAACTGACAGTGTTGACTAAAGTTTATAAATGCATATATATTATTTCTTGTGATCAAGGTAAGTAGAAATATCTTTTCTGTGTTGTTAAATAACTGCAGAGGACTTTACTGACATTGTGGGTTGCTTATTTGTGCCCTGCACCATATATGCAGCATAATCTTTTCATCCGTGTCGAATTCTTATTATAATTCGTTTATTATATCTATTTCAGAAGGCACTGTTCAGTTAGTGGCTGTAATGTAAAAAAAAAGCAAGGCCTTATATTGTTTAAATTTTCAAAAGAACCAAAAAGGCGTGCAAAATGGATTTTATTAATGAACCGTCCAAATTGGCAACCTTATACAAATAGCACAGTTTGCGAAGTAATTAGAACAATTATACAATTTTATATATGTATATAGTGATTTGCATTAATATTCGGACATTTAACAAAAAATATATTTTTGTATAAATTACATCTACATATGAATTAAATTATAACTTTAATAGTTCAATATTTTGTAGGGTATTATTTTGTGCTTCAACTTACTAAAAGAACAACATTTCTTACATAAATATACGGATTAATTTTTTTCAAGTATTATGATGTCCGAATATTAATGCGAGGCACTGTATTATTACATTATAAATTATAAATATACAATTAGTCCGTTTATAATTATGTTATAGACAGAACGAGCCCAAAACACTAAGGCCGGTATTCATAGTTATTTAAGACCGTCTTGAGTTCAATCTTAAGATGTCATGAACCAATCACAGAGCCGTATTAGCGTCTTAAGACATTACTTAAGACGATCTTGAAGACTATGAATACCGAACTAAGACTCTTTACAAACTTCTTTATAGCTCAAAACCTTTAGCAAGCGCTTGCCAACGTATAGCTCCTGCTTCATTAGGTGTATCTCACAAACCATTTTTTCAAAAGTAGCAAAATCACTGTTATACTCCTCTTGACGATTTTTTAATTTTTCTTCCATTATTCTGGTCTGGAATTTGAGATACTGTATTTCATCCGCCTTAGACGATGGAGCAAAGATGAGATTTAAATTGGAGCTCTGCAGAAAGATCAAGGTTAAGTAACAGTACTATAATAGGGTCGACGGATATTTGTAATTTATTTGAGATAAAAAAAAACTGAATTTACCTCACACATATTCAGAAATGGACCAGCAGGTTCGCCGATATGACAGTGAAACAACTTGCTCTTTCTCCCTGCACAAAAAAAAATTATTGAAAAGCGTAAAACTTGGTAGGAGCCTAACCTCAAACGAGCAACAAGTCTCTCAATATTCGAAAATGTCACGTTCGATGCATTTCATTATTTCACTTCTTACATAAAAATTGATGTAATGTCGATACAGGTATTGAACTGCAACTAAGAATAAATACTTCCTTTAGTAAACAGCACTGATTGCGCTGGCTAAAAGTAGAAACACCATGGACTAGATAGTGACGGCAGCAAGGTGGGGGTACGATCACAAGATGGCGACAGCAGCAAAGTGGGGGTAAAGTTTGCGTTTCTCTACTAACATAGGACTCTAGTGCAGAAGTGTGTGCTCCCCGCTTTAAGTTTCACTGACTACGTTTTTCTATGTGCCACGGTCTGCACACCGACTATGCACTACCACACATACAAAAATCCTCTGATTGGTTCCGCTCGAAATAATGACGATGCACAGTACGTACTTATATTCAGTGGCAATGGTGTAACGGCCATTGCACGTAACAATGTTTAAGCAGGGCACACACACTTTTCGTAGAACGTAACAGCAATGTTTCGACCAATCGCGTTGCTCGATTCAGACGTCTGTAACCGTAGAAGTAAGAATTGAGCAACGCGATTGGTCGAAACCTTACTGTTATTACGTTCTACGAAAAGTGTGTGTGCCCTGCTTTAGTCGTAATCGTAAGGCCGTAAGAAAATAGACCAATCACAGTCGATTATTCTCCTTGAGCTCGAAGAAAAAAAATAGTGTCACGATACATTGCAGTTTTGAATCAACTTCGTGAGCTTTGTGAATGGCCACATTCAACAGAATGTTTATTTTGCAACTGTTGGAAGTTTTCTAAGCTCAGATTGGATTATTCTTTTATGCCCGTTCTAGACTGAAGGATGAGCCGACTCTCGGCTCATCCGAGTGAGTGGTGTAGACGGGTAAAAATCTATAGTTTATGTATAGTTTATGTCACGTATTTATTTAAATTGTCAATTAAAAAGACCAAATCCCATGGTCGAAAAAGTCGTGACGATTAATCTGATCAAAACCAATGGTCGAATTGTCACGACATTAGCCAAACGTGACTCGAATATAAATAGTCTTTCTTGCTTAAGGATGTTCTCTCGTCCTTATACTAGAGAAAATTGATTTTCTTAGGATTTTCTTGAAACTGTGAATATACGTTAATTTACGTGTGCTTTATGCGTGGTATAAATTTCAGTACCTCTTCCGGAATAAAAAATGAAAATACTGAGCCTCAAAGTTAAAAAAAAAATTTAAAATTTAATTTTTTTTAGTTTTGGCATTTTTTCCTTATAGAACTCGACGACAGAAGCAACTTTGGTCCTTTTGGCCAATCTCGTATCTCTTATCGTTTGGCCTGGAAAACCTTTTCATTAGTAAAAGTTGAAACTTTGAGGCTCAGTATCTTGATTTTTTATCCCGGAAGAGGTACTGAAATTTATCCCAGCCGGAATGCTAGCGTCTTTTCGACGTCTATAGATGTCGATAGATGTCGAATCGACATCTATAAGATGTCAATTCGACGTCTATAGACGTCGGCGTTCTGGCTGGGATACCACGCATAAAGCACACCTAAATTAACGTATATTCACAGTTTCAAGAAAATCCTAAGAAAATCGATTTTCTCTATAAAAACGAGAGAACGTCCTTAATTATTACCATCGATCAAAAAGTCTTTTGTTTTTTATGGAGTAGTTGCAATATACATTTTGTGTATCTTGTACATTTTCTACATCTTGTACATTTTTTTTTTGTAAATTTTTTGAAGATGTAGATACGCTGGAAGATATCTGAAACAGAACAAAATCTCTTTTGTACATACTACTTTGCAAAAAATAAATCGTTATAAAAAGAAACATTACGTATCATCACTCACATTATTTGAAAAATCCTCCCTATCATTTATTACGTTCGAAAATAATTTAGAATATTTGCTATCTGAAACCAGTGAGCTAGGTGACATTCTTGAAGGACGAGTCATTTCATTCTCGGGGTAATGTTTCTGAAATTTATAGGATAACAAAATTAATAATTTTAAAATTCTGTTGTAAAGCAATATACCTAAATACCTACCTCAAAATTAATCTCTCTTGGGGAAGTCGCACATGAAGAATCTTGTAAAAGCAAATCAATAGCTTCTCCTTCGGGAATGTTGGATATTCCACTAGCCTCAGGCGTCAAAAATGCTAACAAATCCTCTTCTGAAGGAGTCAGATCCAAAGTTTTTGGTGGTCCCCCACCAGTACTTGCTGCGTAACTTTTGTACGTAGCCACTCTTTTCAACAAATTAGACTTCCAGTCACGCCTCGTCTATAATAAAAAAATTATGACAATGCTATGGAATTGTATAAAATAAGATAATATTATGCAAAACTGCATAATTTGCAACATTAAATAAAAATTCTTATTTAACACTAAATATAAAGTCATATTTTTTTTACTTTTGCTCATTCTTTCGATGACTTTCGCGGACCAGAACCTGTACAATTTAATTTTGTCGTTATTTCTTCCCATAACTAGTCCTGTAAAAATATATACATTGATACTTATTAACTTTGAATTTATTATTTCTATTATTTAGTGTTTATAAAGTCACTTACTAATTTCCTTTTATTTTCACGATTGTACCTTAACCTCCCTCTTCCGAAATCCGGATGGTTACACATAAAATTTATTAGAATTTGCTTCTGCTTTTCAGTCACATTCATATTTATTTATTTAAAAAACTAACAAATATCACAATATTAATAACCATATAAATCGGTCAAAACACGTCCGGACACCTTTATAACTTCCCGAGATCTCCGCGTTCTTCAGTAATGAAAACGAGCGTAAAGCCTGTAATTGGTCAAGCTTCTTTAAGCTGGTCACACACACTTTTTCGTAACAGTAACAGTAGGATTTCAACCAATCGTGTTACTCAATTCGGGAACGTACGGCCGTACGTTTTCGAATCGAGCAACGCGATTGGTCGAAATCCTACTGTTACTGTTACGAAAAAGTGTGTGTCCGGGGCCTTACGCCGTACGCCGGTACGCCGTACGCTGGCTCCATGGGACTTCACCCTCACAAGTTCACACAAAATACTTTTCACCATTGTGGTTCTAGTGATTTCGTATTTTCACCTCGTTACAGACCAACGTTACAGAATCGTGCGAACAAACTCATGTGAGATGAAAGTGCGAAAAGTGAGTGAATAACTCATTTGAAATACAGAATCGACCCCTAGATGTAGAGAAATAATCTAATGGAGGTCGATTCTGTATTTTGAGACAAGGTGAAAATTACAAAAGTGAACAGATTTACTAGATTTCGACAAATGAAATTGGTAGAGTCTCTAGTGAATTTCCTCACTTTTGTAATTTTTTACCTCGATCGTCCCAAGATAAATCGACCCCCTGAGCTCAAAAAACTTCCAACAGTTGCAAAATAAACGTTCTGCTGAACGCAGCCAATGCAATATAAAAAACATTTTTTTAAATATATATACTTTTTATAATGCCGTCGTGTTCATTAAAAAAGTGTAAAAATACATTATACATATATATAATTAAGACATCAAATAATTAATAAAAAAATTTCGGTAGAAAATAATAGAATATAATAAGACATAAAAGAAAAATGACATAATTCTCAAATAAAGAGTAATTTAATTCTTCCTATATATCTTCTATACGCGGTTTATTATGTGTTTATTGTTTCTTATACGTGTTTATGTATTTGTTATATTTGTTTATTTATGTTTGTGTTTGTATTCATTATTTTTTAAAAAATATATATTTACCGTATAAATTTAAATTATAGTTACACACAAAAGATCTTTTATTAAAACTCTTTCTTGCCCGAATCTTCGTTTTAATATCCATTTGAATTAAAATGGCGGAATCTTGTCACGCTCTCTTATTGGTCAGTAGAAATTCCTGCGCCGTAGCACACCTTCTTTGCGTTCCGTAACGTGCATATGCGTGCATTTATCTATAGTATACGTAACGTTTACTATAGGGCCAAAGCACATATGACAGTCGTAGTCGTGGACGTAAGTAACGCACAAGCTTTGGCGTATCTTGATTTGTCAGGTCGAGGACTACGACCGTCGTATATCGCTACGCCATGTTATGTGCTTTGGCCCATAGAAAATGCGCGCATATGCGCGTTACGGAACGTGGCCCTTGTTACATACACCGTGTTCAGTGGTATGTATGTATGTATGTATATATGTACGTATCTATATGCTGCCGATATAACAGATTTCCTAACCCCACAACTGTTATTTTTAGTACTTTATAACTTTTGTCCTGCGTGAGAGTGACAACTTTAACTTTTGTATTCGTATTGTACGTACAAAAATACACAAGACTGGTAAGTTTCAGCCAAATCGATGAGGAAGCCACTTTCTTTTATAATTATCTATAGTCTAAAGTATTAACATTAATGTTAATTAATGTTAATTTATCAATATATTATTGTGTTTATTTTTATAGTTTACTCAATGCATTTGGTATAAATCATACGCAATATGTTTTCATGTAAACAAATTACTACATTTGTTTATGATACAAAGGATTTTAATTTTATCATTAATTCATGCGAGGAAAATGAGTCTTCATTTGATAATGTTTTGAAGCATATGTGGAAACAAGCTGAAGAAATTAAAGCATTTCGCTATATTTTAAATATACGAGAGAGTAAAACATTGAAGGGAAAATACAGATTTCTAATACAGGTATACTCATTAATATCTAAAAATAATATTTTTGTCTAATGCATAATGTAATGACAATTTCAGTTAAATCCAGATAGAGCTCAGTGTAGACGTGCTCCGGAATCAATCACATCTACGTTACAATCTTTTAGCCCTATAGGTTTTAATTTCACTAAGCTAACACAGCAAGAAATATTATTTGACATAGGAAATGGCGACACAAATGACATAGTTGCAATTAATGCCAGTCCTTTGGAACAAAGTCATTGTTTACTTCTTACAGAACGTTTAAAATGTTTGCCACAAATTATGACAGAGTATAGTCTTCGCAAAGTAATAGAATTATGTCTATTAAGCAATTTATGGTAATTATTGTTATATTAGAAATATTTAAATGTGACATGAAATTATATACATATATAAAATTTCCGCCAAAGCCGCAACATATAGGTACACAAAAAACATCATACGTCGCTAGACGTATTTCTACACTTTTACATTTTATTATTTAACATACAAAAACATTGTATGTACGCACGATGTAACTAGTAGGAATCAACGTCTAGCGACGTATGATGTTTTTTTCATATATATTGCAGCTTTGTAATAATATTTCACTTGGAAAGGACCCGATAAGGGTTAAAACGTTGTGATTTTTCAATAAAGGGGTAATTTTGGCCAGTTGTGTCGGTTAAATTTGGATTAATTTTTTATTTTTACTTTAGGTCTTTAAGGGCTGCTTTCAATGGTTTATGTGCGCATGCCTCTGTTAATCATTTACATTGGCATTTATACTATTTAAAATACGAGATGCTTCTTGAATATATTGTAGGTAATATTATTTTCGATAACAACTTGTTGTAAATATTTGCAAGATGTTATCAATATTAATTTTGTTTTAGAATGTTTGCAGTTATATTTCTGGTATACACTTGTTAGTAGATTATCCAGCAAAAGGATTCTGTCTTAAATTGTCTGATTTTAAAAATATTGAAGATTTTGTATCTCGCACATTTCTTGTAGTGAACTATTTACAATTATGTCGAATGGCACATAATGTATATATTACACGAGCAAAATCTAAATCTAATGATGAATTATATAACGATATACGTATTTATATTTGGGCTAGAAAGCCATTAATTGGTGTCAAAGATACAACTGCATTTATACCTGGAGTTTGCGAACTCTTTGGACATTTATCAATTAGAGGTAAGAATAAAATCTGTATTTGAATACAGGGTGTTTAAAAAAAGTGTTCCATATTTTGAGAGCAAGTAATACTCATCAAAATAAGAAGAAAATGTCCAGTAAACATGGGTCCTAAATCAAATACCTGTTAAGATATGGACCAATCTTTATCTTATACTATAAGAGGTGTTCTATGTGGTTCCCATTTATTGTCATACATTTTAAATAAAAAAAAATACTTAGGGCCCGGGCACATAAAAAACTTAAGCAGACAGACGTAAGT